CTTGTGGATCTTTCTCAGTGAGATATTCAATTTTTAATCCATCGTGAAGATGGTGACGGAGGAAAATGAGTGCTTTTGCAAGATCCTGCAGGGATTTATTGTTTCCTTCTTTTAGTCTTTCCCAGACCCTTTGAGACGAGATGGATATCAGCATCCAGTATGCATGACAGATAATTTTTACCAGATATGTCAAGTGCAGGAAACTCAAGTTTCGTAATATTTGCCATTTGTTTAACTACACAATAAAAAAATACAATTAGTTTCGAAAAATATGATTAATCATCACATGTTAATCAAATAGTCAATATCAACATGACTTTAAGTTACGTGTTTTCCTCTAGGGATAAACACTAATTTGAAATAATATGTTCTTCGAAACATATGCTACTTCTGGAGCACATATATTTTGCTATTATTTCTTCAAGTGCAATATGTCAATATTCTTCTGGAATATTGAGAGTTATAATTTATGCTCTTCAAGAGCAAATAATATTTTTATAATGTTGTGCTACTTCTTAATCAACAACGAATAGATCTATGATTAATATTTTTCTGGAATATTAATTATAATGTTTTGCTATTTCAGGAGCAACAACAATTAAAAATAAATCTAATGTAATGTTTCATAACTAAACATAAAAAAAATGATAATACATCCAATTGCTCACCATTAATTAATATACAAACACATGTAAAATATTATTTTGAATTAATAACGTGAGTCGAGTGAAACACAAAAAAAATTGGTGACATGTAGAAACCTATTAACATATTATGGCATGAAATTCTAATTATGTGCAATTAAAAGAATTGAATTAGTATTAACCAATTAAGACATGAAATTTGCGGAAACCAATGGATTTGAGAGAAAAGATGAGTTGTGTACAATTATTTGTTAATTGTATATTATTTATATGGAATCAACCAAAATAGAAATCTGAAATTGAAGCTTGCTTATAAAGAACATTGACCAATTAAACCAAAAAAAATTATAAGCATGTGTAGAACGTAAACTGCTAATCTAAATATAAGGAGGGTATAGGAACATGAATTAATGCATATTAATTGATTTAACATAAATATATCTCCATAAAAATGCACGTGGATTGATGTAAAGTAAAAAAACATTAATTAATTCAAAGAGAGGTACAAAGAAAATATAATGATCGAGAAAGATGAGATCACGTATTGTAGATTCAACATATGTATATGTAAAATTCACGTATTATCAAATTAATTTTGATATACGTGATAGATGATTATGAAAAAAAAATTATTACATTCTAAGAGTTTCGTGCTGATAACGTGTTATAAAATGAGAGGAAAAGAGAATAGAGAAAACTCAATAAACTTTTTTGTGTGTATTATTGAAAACCAAAGTCCTATATTTATAGGTAAGAATCAAGGATACAATGGTAATAATTTGTAGGTCTACAGGGGTATAAATGTCATTCACCAATAAACTTTAATGGACTTTCCATTTACAACAAGGAGCTGTTTATTGTTGAAACTATATATATATATATAGACACACACATAGAAAACCTGTGAATTGAGAGAGGAGAAAATTTGACTCCACTTTGCAATCAATTCTTGTGGCTCCAATACGCACGGAATTGAGGGGGAAAAATTTGGGAATCAAATTGCTGAAGCTAATTAATTACACACACGAAATTGGAGCAGAGATACCAACACAAGAAAGGGGCAACTTGGAGTCCTTTGAAAAGTCAAATATTGTGGGCAACCAATATCATATACATACACGTGTAGAGAAGGAGGCAGGGGACGATTGGAGAGAAATTGAAAACTAATTACGTTCCGTCAATTAATCTGATGTCTTTCATAATTCCTTGTTTTTCCTCCATTAATATGCGTAACTAAATTTAATTTTAGGGCGAACAATGTAACTGATTTGGGACCTTTATTTATTTTATTTGAGATTATTGTTCTTTTATATTTTATGTGTGAATTTTAATTATATTTTTAATGCTTTGAATTTTCTGACCAATTATTCAATGATTTCGTGAATAATAATTACATAGAGATGCGGATTCTTATTTAGAACACATACTAAAATTAGGTAAATTAATATAACGTGTGGAGATATCTATATTAATTGTTGTGGTCCTATAGAAATTCTTAGAAGTGTTATTTCGTTTAATTAAATTTAATTTGTATAGAGATATGGAATTGAACTAATTAAATAGGCTAAACCAGAACTCGAGAGGGGTAAGTTGAATACAATAAAAGAATTCAATCGAACATTATTTTAATTTTATTAATATCAATATTAGAAATAAAGGTGACCAATAAGTGAAATTGTTCTGCTCAAATCTCCATTTATTATTTGAGTTCTCACTAATTTTCTGTTGCATTCCCGAGATTTTTAGTAGTTACATTTAAAAATCACAGTCAATCAAATTTATTTTTCTTTATTTATTTATATTCATCAAATAGGAGTTAGGAATAATAAATTGAGTACTAAAGAATAGTCCTCGTATGAATGATAATCCGAACTCAAAAGATCCACTTTACTACTTGTTACGATCCTTCCACTTGTGGGATAAAATTGACAACAAGTTTTTGACGCCGATGTCGGGGACTATTAGTTTTAGTCTTAATTTATTTATTTTATTTTTTTATCTTATTTTTAATTGTTATTTGATTTGCTTATTTTCTTTTATTTACAAAAAACTGTGTTCGTTGTATGCTTCGTGCCAAAGACGACGATCTTGAACCGTTTGATTCAAAAATAGAACGTACCTTCAGACGAAGACGCAGGAAACACAAATAAAAACAGCAATATCAAATGACTGACAATCTAAACAATCCTAACCCTATACAGCGAATTGGACAAATGGCCGCGAGAGCTCAACAACAAGAGCAAAGGGAAGTAAATGAAGGGGACTTGCCAATTTATATGTTTTTGATGCCTATAGCAGCACCCGCGCGGTCCAGCGTAGTATATCCAAATTTGGGGGTAAACAACTTTCAGATACGGGCTAATTGGATTAATTTGATGAGCAACACTCTGCAATTCTACGGGTTACCTCATGAGAATCCAAACACACATATCTCAAGGTTTCTCAGGAATCGCTAGAATTGTCATGCTCCTGGGGTTAATGAGGATGCCATCAAGCTGTGATTATTTCCATATAGACTGAGAGATGCAGCATTGGAATGACTGGATACCGAACCGGATGGAAGTATACCACATGGGAGGAACTGACTAGAAAATTATGCAATAAGTTCTTTCCACCAGTTAAGGTAGCAAAAATCAGACTGGAAATTCAAACTTTTTGACAGAGAGATGGGGAGAGCTATCACGAGGCATGGAACATATTTAAGGAGTTGATGAGGAAGTGTCCAAATCATGGGATTACTATTGAAAATCAAGTGTAGTATTTCTACACGGGACTTTCACCATTGTCCAAATCTCAAGTGGATTCCTTTGCAAGTGGATCGATGATAGGAAAATCAGTGTAACAATGTATAAATCTATTTGAGTTGATTGGTACTACTCATTCCATGTTTTCATAAGAAAGAGTGGTGCCTTCAAAAGCAGCGGGAATATATGAATTAGACAGCACAGCACCTACCAACGCCCAAATAGCAGCATTGACAAAACAAGTAGAGTTATTGGTGAAGTCACAAACAATAGGAGCACATACAGTGGTAACTGGCCAATCTTGCGAAAACTGCGGGACAAATCACCTAACAGAAAATGCACATCTATGGACTTTTCGGAGGAAGAAGTAAACTTCAGTCAAAATGGCTCTTGAAATTTTAATCCCTTTTCTCAAACATATAACCCAGGATGGAGACAACACCCAAACTTCAGATGGTCAGATAATCAACAAGGGAACAGTTCAAAGGAGAAAAAACCAAGTTTGGGGGTGATGTTCAACCAGTACATGCACAAGACAGACAAAGTGTTCTAGTAGATTGACACTAACTTTCAGAATCAGCAAGCATCCATTAAGAAGCTAGAAACTCAAATTGGTCAGATTGCTCAACAACTTGCAGAACGCCCACAAGGGACATTGCCAGGCAATACAATGGTCAATCCAAAAGAGCAAGTGCAAGCTATTACAACTAGAAGTGGAGTGCAACTTCCAGAGATACATGTGAAGAGACCAGACAGAAAAGATAATGAAGTAATGGGTGAAGAGGTTGGGACAGAAGCAGAGTCTGAACAACCAACTAACGAGGAGAATAAAAGGAAAGAAACACCCACAGTGAGAGCACCCAGCCCCGTGAAAGCTTATGTGCCACCAATTCCCTTCCCTAAAAGGTTACAGAGAAAGAAGTTGTATAAGCAATTTGCCAAGTTTGTAGAGATTTTCAAGAAACTGCACATCAATATTCCGTTTGCAGATGCAATAGCCCAAATGCCCAGTTATGCAAAATTCTTGAAGGAGATCCTTTCTGACAAAAGAAAGCTGGAAGAACATGAGACAGTCTACCTGAACTAGGAGTGCAGTGCAATTTTATTGAGAAAGCTACCTCTTAAATTAAAAGACCCAGGGAGTTTTCACGATACCTTGCACAATTAGTTCTAATTATTTTGAACATTCTTTATGCGATGTAGGTGCCAGTGTTAATTTAATGCCTTGAAAGAAGTAGTGCGAAAAGAAGTGCTGAAATTGTTGGAGGCAGGTATTATCTATCCAATCTCTGATAGTTCATGGGTGAGTCCAGTACATGTTGTGCCAAAAAAGGGTGGAATTGCAGTGAAGAAGAATGAGAACAACGAGCTGATACCAATACGGTTAGTGACAGGGTGGAAAGTATGTATAGATTACATAAAGCTAAACAACGTAACCAGAAAAGATCATTTTTCATTGCCATTCATTGATCAGATGTTGGAGAGGTTAGCCAGTCATTCTCATTACTACTTTCTGGATGGATATTCTAGGTACAATCAGATAGTTATTGCTCCAGAAGACTAGGAGAAAACAACATTCACATGTCCCTATGGAACTTTTGCGTTTAGAAGGATGCCTTTTGGTTTATGCAATGCACCCGCAACCTTTCAACAGTGCATGATGGCCATATTCTCTGACATGGTGAAAAAATATACTGAGGTATTCATGGATGATTTTTCTGTGTTTGGAGATTCATTTGATGACTACTTAGATCGGTTGGCTCTTGTATTGCAAAGATGTGAAGAGAAGAATCTAGTGCTAAATTGGGAAAATGACATTTCATGGTAAAAGAGGGGATATTGCTGAGCCACGGGATCTCTTCAAAGGGCATTGAAGTTGACAAAGCCAAGATACAAGTGATTGAAAAATTACAGCCTTCTAATTCAGTTAAGGGGGTCAGAAACTTCTTAGGATATGCAGAGTTTTACAAAAGGTTCATTCAAGATTTCTCAAAAATTACAAAACCTCTGTGTAATCTACTGGAGAAGGATGTACCATTTCACTTTTCTGATGAATGCTTAAATGCCTTTAATACTTTGAAAGAAAAGTTAACTTCTGCACCAGCGATAGTAGCACCTGATTGGGATTTACCTTTCGAACTTATGTGTGATACTAGTGAGTTTGCAGTGGGAGCAGTGCTTGGCCAACGTAAAGGAAAAATGTTACATGTAATCTACTATGCCAGCAAAACCTTGACAGATACTCAGATCAATTATGCAACAATAGAAAAAGAGATGCTAGCAGTGGTATTTGCCTTTGACAAATTTCGTTCCTATCTGATTGGTTAAAAGGTGATAGTCTACATTGACCATGCAACATTTGAAATATCTGTTTGAGAAGAAGGATGCTAAACCTAGGCTGATTCGATGGGTTCTGTTACTGCAAGAGTTTGGCATTGAAATCCGCGACAAAAAAAATACATAAAATCAGGTAGCGGCTCATTTATCAAGGCTAGAAAAACTGTGTGATTCAGAAGACATTGATATTAATGAGGTCTTCCCAGATGAACAGTTATTGCAAATAGAGAAGGTTCTGTGGTATGCAGACATTGTTAATTACGCAGCTAGTGGCTATATGGATCCTGATCTCACTTATCAGCAGAAAAGAAGCTGCTTTATGAAGCGAAATTTTATTATTGGGATGATCCAAATTTATACAGTATAGGGGCAAACCAGATCATTAGGAGATGTGTACCAGAGGATGAGATGAAACTTATCCTTTCACGGGTTCATGCTTCGGCTTATGGAGGACACTTTGGCCCCACTAAAACAGCAGCAAAGGTGTTTCAATGTGGTTTCTTTTGGCCTACACTGTTCAAGTATTGCCACAGTTTCTGCAGGTCTTGTGATAAATATCAGAGAACAGGTAACATATCAGCGCGTCACGAGATGCCACTTAACAACATTTTGGAGGTGGAAAAATTTGATGTTTGGGGGGTTGATTTTATGGGTCTTTGTCCATCATCTTATAACAATTAGTACATCCTAGTTGCAGTGGATTATGTCTCTAAATGGGTAGAAGGTAATGCCTTGCCTACAAATGACACAAAGGTGGTGGTGGACTTCATAAAGAAACACATCTTTAACTGCTATGGATCACCTAGGGCCATAATAAGTGATGGTGGAACTCATTTCTGCAATCGGTTATTCCAGGCAGTGCTACATAAGTACGGGGTATAACATCGAATTGCCACTCCTTACCACCCTCAGACAAGTGGACATGTGGAAACCTCTAATAGACAATTGAAAAGAATTCTGGAGCTCACTGTGAATGCATCTCGCAAAGATTGGTTAAAGAAATTAGACAATGCTTTATGGGCATATCGCACTACTTACAAGACACCTATTGGGATGTCCCAATATCGACTAGTCTTTGGAAAAGCATGCCACCTACCAGTGGAGTTTGAACATAGAGCATACTGGGCATTGAAACAGTTAAACATGGACCTCGAAAAGGCTAGAGAAATAAGAATACTGCAGCTACATGAATTGGAGGAATTTAGAAGAGAAGCATATGAGAATGCAGTCATCTACAAGGAAAGGACAAAGCAGTGACATGACAAGAACATCAGGCAAAGAATTTTTAGAGTGGGAGATCAAGTGCTTTTATACAATTCCAGACTTAAACTGTTTCCAGGAAAGTTGAAATCTAGATGGTCCGGCCCTTTTACAGTCTCTCAGGTGTTTCCCTACGGCACAGTTGAATTACACCATCCAACAAAAGGAAACTTCAAAGTAAATGACCAACGTATCAAACACTATGTGGAAAATTTCCCCACCGCTAAAGAGAGCCTTGACCTAGCTGTACCAGAATAATAGCAACACAAAGTCCAGCTGATGACTTAAAAGAAGCGTTTATTAGGAGGCAACCCAATTTTCAATTTTTTTTATTTTACTTTTTGTATCACATAGTATATAGTTTTGTTTTGTTTACTAGGTTGCATTAGATTTAGGCACGTTTCAATTTTTAGGAGTCATCACCCATATCCCTTCCACCCTTAGGCTCTTGAATTTATTGTTGGTTATTTTGATTATTTGAGCTAAGTAACCCTTGTTCCATATCTTTAATTTGTCAAATTTGATTTTTCACGAATATGACGTCGTGGAACACTCAAACCAACATAGATCCAAGGGAAAGCATGATGAAGAATATTATCCAGTCGTCTCACATAGTGCCTCACACATTCAATAGAAAAATTTGGGGAGTACATTCTTCTTTTTCTTCCCTACTCCCTTTATGTGTTTATTTATGCTTTATGACATTGAGACAATATCAGTTTTAAGTTTGAGGGTGAAAAAAAAAACTTTTAGTTTTTATTTTTTTTCTGTTTTTACGTTTTTGTGTGTTTGTTAGTTTTTGTATTTTTTTTTAATGTTTTTATGTTTTTGTGTGTTTTTTAAAAAAAAAAAAAAACTCTTTTGTTCAGTTGTGTGCTTGTGTGGGTTAGACAGTTTGGCAGACAATGATGATTTAATTTGAGATTTGGTGTTGACTTATGAACTGTGGATATGATGCATGTTAGACTAATTAAGGCTTGACCTTGCAAAATTTGATATTACAAGCGCACTAGAATTGAGTTTGACATTATGATTAAATTAGTTGTTTCTTGATTTTTGATAAGTTGATCTACTTGGATATAGATGCTTTACCTAAACTATAATAAATTATCTATCCTTAGACCAAATTTAGCATAGTTTAGGGGTGATTTTACAGTTGTAGGAAGATGCAGATGTGAATGTGGAGTCCATGTGTGAAAACTTATATGTGGATTGTCTTAGACTAACATGATAAAACTCTGCAAAAGTCTTAAGTTAAAGGTCGATTTGTTTGAATAAGTGTGTGATAAGGGGCATTGCACTAATCAAGGCATATACATTTGAAAATTTTAAACTTTTCTCTGAAACCTTTATGACTTGAGTGATTAAGTCTGTAAGGGTATCTTAAAACCTGGTACCCTAAAGTCGTCTGACTTGGGAGTCATTGGCCTAAAACTCGTTACAAGAGTTATTTAGAAAGCAATTAGAGACGAAGTTGCACTCGAAAAAAAAAACTTCTCTTCGAAGCCTTTTTGACTCGGTCAGTAAGTCTGTAAAGGTATTTAAAAATCTGGTACCCTAAAGTCATCTAACTTGGGAATCATCGGCCTAAAGCCTGCTACAGGGGTTATTTAGAAAGGTTAATGGAGAGAATATATATATATATATATGGGGGGGGTATGCTGTTTTAAAAATGGTTGTTTTAAGATGGTTGTTTAACTTTTAATAGCTTTAATCCTACTCAGTACTCTCCTTAGTTTTCTATAAATCTTTCTTAAGAATCATGTATAAATCCCTTTTTTTTTTTTTTTTTTTTTTAATTTTCACCACCTATGACATATAAACTTGAACCTGATTTCTTTTTATAAGGTTACCCGTGGCACTCCCTTATAAAATTCTTAGATTAATTTCTCCCTTTCCCCAGCATCTCTAGAAAACATCAAAAAGGCTCACTCCGGCCAAAAATTTTCATTCATCTGGGTCACTCAGGATTAACCTAAAAACAGTATGGCTTCTAGAAATCAAGTTATGCTTTTATTATATGCATAGGATGAAATGAGAAACATAACAGATATTTACTTAAAACATAAATACAAAAATATGAACATAAACTAATAAAGCATAAATCAGGGATTTATAAATTCATCTTTTAAAAAGATTTACAACTAAGGATTTCCCTTTCGGGAAGTCCCTAAAGTTCTAAAATAAACTTAAAAAAATACAAGAATACCATAAATATTCACAAGGATGATTCAGCTATACAATGATTTTTTGGATTGAGAATTTTTCTGAGAAGGGTTTCAAAAGGTTTTTGGATAGCAGAGAGTACACAGGTTGTAAACTTCTGCCTAAACCTGAATGAAACTTGTTCCTTAAATAGAAAAATTCTTGGGAGCAAAAAGTCTAAAATAACCTTGAAGAAAACACACGTTTCACCGAGAAACTTCTGGCTAATTCAAGATAGGTCTAACAAGTGGAAAGAAAATATCCTACTTTTACAAAAGTCTAAAAGTCTACAGTTTAGGAATCTTGAAGTTTCCACCAATTTACGTAAAAAGTCTAAAATTTTCTGACATCTTTCTTCAAAAATCAAAAGGTCTATAGTAATGTGATAAGGATCTTCAGCTTTTCCTTCTTTTCTTCCATCACTTTTGTCTTGTTCTGCATTATTGAGGATCTGATTATGTACTGAGATTATGACGTGCCACTGATGAAAATGACATTCCACTATCTGAATTATTGTATCCTTCTTCATGTGGATCTTTGTCTTCATCTGAGAGTTTGGAGTTACTGGCTTCATCTTTTTCTTTCTGATCTGGACATTCTGCAATTTCTTTTTCTTCTTCATGGCTCTTTTTTAATATTGTCTCGAATGCTTGGTTAACTGCTTCTCTTATTTGTTCTTTTAGTTCTTCATCATTTTTCTTCTTCTTAATCTTTTTCTTTTTTCTAGAAGAAGTCCCTTCATCTTTTTTAGATTGTTTTTGGAGTTCTTCAATTTTCTCAAATATCTTTTCTAAAGAAGCTGTATCTGGATTAGGATCTTGTGATTCTTGAAAAAATAAACATTCTTGACTATCTTGGACTACCATTTTTTCTTTTCCCTTACTAGATTGAAATTCTTGGGCTTGTGAAAATTCTGGGTTATTTGAAAAATGTTCTGAGGAAAAATGTTCTGGTGGACTATATTTGACTAAATAATCAAATTTTCCACTGGGCTGTCCTAAGAGATCCCAAATCTCTTTACCTTTTTCTGTAGCAGATTTATCAGTCTGCTGAGTCTGATTGTCTAATTTAGTAGGAGAATCAACAGTCCCCTGAGTCTGTTGGGCTTTTGGTAAGTCCACAACCTTTAACGGATTTGATAAGTCTTTACCAGCTACCGTTTGGGCTGGACTAGCTATGGACTTCTTGGGCTCCATAGTACCTGTTGGATAATGGACTTTTAAATCCAAGATCTCTTTTTCTAATTGGGCCACTTTCTTTTGGAGTTGAGTTCTTTCTAATGAAAGGTTCTGATTGGCTTCATTGATTACTTTGAAATTTCTCTGTATACATTCACAATGTTGGCAGAAAATATTCTGGTCTTTGCTTGGAGAAAAATCTAATGGAGGGTCTGAGTAATTCTTCAAAGAAGGAGATAAATAAAAATTTATTCCTATCTGTTGTCTTGCAACATCTAATGCTTCTTAAAAATTTGTAAAACCTTTGTAAATAGGTTCTGGAAAATTTTTAATGCAATCTATAACTTCTAACCAGGTATGAAAAATTCCTGGAGTTCTTCCTTTAATGACAACATAAAATTTAAACCTTTGCTTGTTCTGACTAAAATGTTCTGATAATGCATTCATGCATGCAAGAAAATATTTTTGGTCTTTTGGATTCTTATTATAAGAAATCCATAAATTGTCTAAGATACATTTCTCTTCTCTAGATAAAGAAATATGCGGTAAAATTTTAAAAGAAATATTACTATTGGGAAAGACTATGAGTTCTTGGTTTCCAAACCTTAGTCTGTCTTGTAAGATTGGTCTGTTCTGGTTAAATGGAGTCTGTGGTAATAGTCTTGATGCAAATGAATTCCCTGGTGGAATTCCTGGTCTTATAGGCCTTGGCCTTGTCATCTGTATAAAGAAATTATGTTAAACAAATTTAATAATTTCTATTTATTACTATTCTACTTAATATATCTGCTGCCTTATTATCACTACCTTTAATATGCTCAAATTCTATATTAATACCTGTATTTGTGATTCTATCTATAAAATTTAACCATCTTCTTCTACTACTTCTTTTTGAATCTATTTTCATTTTATTAACAAAAGAGACTATGGCTACACAGTCTGTTCTTATAGTTATTTCTTTTTTAGATATAATGAATAGTTCAAAACTATCTAATGCATAATTAATAGCTAATAATTCTACATCTATACTACTTAAATTTCCTTTTTCCTTATAATTTCCACTATTATACCTACAAATTCTTTCTGTACTTTTATCAGTGTATTTATTGGGTTTGCATATTAAAATAGCTCCCCATCCTGTCATACTTCCATCTGTTTCTATAATTAAGTATTCTGAATCTAAAGGCATAGCTAATTCTGGTAATGTTTTTATTTTTTCTTTTATTTGTTGAACTAATTTTATATCTTCTTGATTAAAAAGTTTTTGTCCTGTAGGAGATGTCTTTGCATATAAAGGTCCTGCTATTTTTCCTAAATCTTTTATAAATGGTCTAGCATAATTTACTAATCCTAAAAATTTTTGTATTTGTTTTAAATCTTCTAGTTTATCTAGGAATTCTAAAGCTTTCTTAGCAATATGAGGTTGTAACTTAATTTTACTTTCTCCTATGTTAACTCCTAAAAAATCTATAAATTCTTTAAATAAAAACATTTTCTTCTTACTTATTATTAAACCATGTTTAATAAATTCTGAGAATACTATTTGTAAGTGTCCTCTATGTTCTTGTTTATTTTTACTAAAAACTAAAATATCATCAATATATACTATTACAA